TAACATCTACAGAGGTTTGGTCCAACACCATCACCGAATTTTAAATAAACTCTTTTCAACTAGAAAAACTATCATATCTTCTACATTATTGATCAAATGAGGTTTACAGAATATCGTTGTGAATCTGACATACCCCTCTATTAAACTGTACCTACAACGTCCGTGCCATTAACCTGGTGTTTAGTGTCTCCATGTATTCCATCAATTCCCTGCTAGAGCATTGCCAACTTGTCATATATACTCGTAAACAATACTATTTACGTCTTTATAAACATACAGTGGTTCCTAAATATACCAGGACGAACTTTACACTTAATTCCATGTGTCCCAGTAAACATGATGATTCTTGAACAACAATATTAAAAAAATACCGGGGCATTCCAAATTGTAGTCTGCCTTTTGTGCTCAAAATCCCCAAAATTGTCTAACAATATCTTTGTCTCACAAATTTTCTTACACATTCCATTCTGAATTTGGTAAGTTCGATCACAGAAAAAAATGTTTGGGGTTCTTCCATATCGTGCACTTAAAAAATGTGTTTATAGAAAACTGGACATTTTTTTCAATTCCATATTTATTTCAAAACTTGGATTTCAAGTATGACATAATAGTAATCACATTCTTCACTTCTAAATTCACATAAGATAAGATTGTTCGACATATATACTAGTTTTTTAAGGGAAAATTTTACTTTTTTCTTTGATTTTTAAACCCGGGGAAAATGATTACAGTTAAATCTTATTTTAAAGCTATGTAGATGGCTGTGTGTGTGTGTTAAGGTAATATAATATATTTTAGCTTGAGTTCAATGTTTTCTATGTATTGCACACGGGTTCCAGGTTACACGGAGTTTAAACCCCCAGAAATATCATTAAAACATGATCTTGACGTTAACGCTCGCGGATTTCAGCAATAAAAATGCGCCAGTGCAAACATTTGGCGGATATTTTATTCCAAGAATTCTGCAGGACTATAAGGGCGGATTGAGTTCACTTACTCCCTAGTTAACTTGCGGCCTGGACAGCATGAAAGCGCCCGCTTTTACAATCAAACTTTTAGAATTTGTGGTAACATTAATGCTTATATCTTGGCATTTTAACTCGATCAATAATATTAAGTAATCTTATGATTTTGATATTAGAATACTTACTTCTGACATCTTACTTAATTTATTTACTAAATAACATGATGATTAATGCAATTCAAGTAAAAAGAACTTTTATTAAATTTAGATCAAAAACGATTAGAATATTTTCCTTATGATGAACTTTTTGTTAAAAAGATTTCAGATTTTGCGCCACGCAATCGCGTTTAAGATTCTTCGGTTAATGGCCGGTCGGGCGCAGTTAAGGAATCTGTATAATGTGCATTGCATATTGTATATTGTTTAAGAAAATGCAGAGTTACTAAGAATGGTTCGCCTTGTTCTTGCCTGGTTTTTGCTTGTATAAACCATCTCTTTTCAATAAATAAATTTAGCATAAAAAATTTACAATAGTTACTTGAAAAAACAACATTCAGTACGCCTATTTATACCAGTAGTGTGTTCAACACAATATGACGTAATCTTTTTTCTACTTTTACACATACGCAATCTTACAATATTAGTTTTAAGGGAGTGACCGGCAATGTATGGTAGTTGAACTGAGAATGTAGTATTGTAGAGATTTTTTTTAGGATTTATTTGAGACATATAAAACGTTTTAATAGAAATTTGTTAATAAATCAATGTTAGAATTAATTATTTGTTTTTAATCATTTAATTTCTGCTTCTTTACGATTTGTTTTTCAAGTTTAAATTTTTTATTAATTTTTATAACTTGAAAACTGATTATTTTCGACTGTGGTTTTCCTACAAAAGGGACTTGAGCATTTCTACAGCAGGCAAACATATACTAATTATGAGTATTAAACACTTTTAAACATAGAAAAACGACACCATCTTCCGAATTATTGATCCAATCTTTATTGAAATTCAATTGTTTTAATTTACAATTATTGGTATTTAAAAGCTATGATTGAAATTTAAAAAAAACATTGTATGAAAAGTTTTATTTTATGATTAAACCCCACACAATGTGGTAAAATATTCATATTCTTACGAGAAAAATTATCAAAATTTTGCCAATAGCTCCTTCAAAACTAAAGATACAAACATACACTTATAAGCGTTAAAGTTTTATTATCAAGAGCTGTGAACCAAGGGTAAACTAGCCTGGACTCGTTGTATAGTGAATAATTGTCAGAACTGTGTAAAGGAATTAAGTCTTAGCCACAAACTCTGATTTTATAATCCCTATATCTTTGCAATCCAATGTAGTAGACCTGAAATATTTCAAACTTTGAATTCTGTAAGATCAAATTATCTAAGTTTGAAATATCAAAGGTTTACACCATTAAGTTGCAACAATATAGGGATTAGAAAATTAAAGTTTGTGGCAAAAACTCAATTCTTTTCCTACCTTTATGTAAACGAGTTAATTAAGAGGTTTGGAAACTATGAAACAGAAAGATACATCTATCTGTAAATATAAAGTAGTAATCTTTATTTGTTTGTATGTCTGATCATAACTCAGGAACCTATTGACCAATTTGCCTCAAGTATTTTGATTAGGGAACTCGGTAGAACAACGGGAATGTTTTAGCTTGATTAAAAAATTCTAAGTTGAGTCGGTTGACTTTTATTGTAAAAACTCCTTGCATAGCTGGGTTTCCAGCTATATATATATATATGTATATATATATAATTTTACTTTTTCGATATGTTCCAATAAAATCGATTGCTCAAAACTATATTTAATGGCCTGAAAATACAAGCACTTAGGCTATTAACGGTTTTCTAGGCATTATGTAAGGTCACTTTTTACCATGGCCCAGGGGTGAGGACTGACTAAAGATTAAAATGTGTCTAAAATTTAGACAAAATATGTAATCTAGGCTTTCAATTTAGCGACATCCAGTATAATTAAATTTGTTTAAAAATAGGATACAATACAACACACAAGAAACACAAAACACAATTTTTTTAATGCTTGGGTAAATTGTTAAAAAGAGTTTTTTGGGTATTTTTTGACAGGCCCTGTTTTATGCCCCGAGCCTTGAATTTTATATTTTTTGAGTGGTTGGTTTGGGGGGGGTGGGCTCCGAGATCAGGTTTCTTATAGACGTTTATCTCCGAGTGCCCTCTCTCTATACCCATATATATCCTAATATTCAAATCTGGCCTCAAGGACCAATAATTAAAAATATAATGTAACTTCATACCCCGACCCTCGTCGGATCAATTACCGAGAATAAAAAGTGAATTAAAACATCTTTAATGTAAAAAATATCATAAGCTGGTCGTTAAAAAATTCTTCCTTTTTGATTGAAATCTTATAAGTTTTCAGTCAGAAGTCCTTTAATTCAATGTTTTAAATCTCTTCTTTGTAATGGAAAGAATTAGTTTTTCTCATAATTTTGAAAAGCATTAAAACTACGAGGTCACAAAGTCGTAACTTCTCAATGTTTGCAGTGTAAAGTGCAGTGTACGTAAATTGTTTGTTTTTGGTTCTCTCTCATAAGTAAACTGTTTGTTTTTGGTCTTTCTGTTAGTAAATTGTTTGTTTTTGGTTCTTCCTGTAAGTAAATTGTTTGTTTTTGGTTCTCCCTGTAAGTAAATTGTTTGTTTTGGTTCTCCCTGTAAGTAAATTGTTTGTTTTTTGGTTCTCCCTACAAGTAAATTGTTTTTTTTTTGGTTCTCCCTGCAAGTAAATTGTTTGTTTTTGGTTTTCCCTGTAAGTAAATTGTTTTTTTTTGATTCTCTCTGTAAGTAAATTGTTTGTTTTGGTTCTCCCTGTAAGTAAATTGTTTGTTTTGGTTCTCCCTGTAAGTAAATCCGCGAAACTAACTTTAATTTCCCTTTAGCTGCATCTCTCACTTACACTGCAGTTAAATATTTGTTTATTATGAACTTTATTGTAATAGTTAGTTACAGACATGTATCCAACAACATATAGTCACAAACTGTGAGGTTGGGGGGGGGGAGGGGATGAAAAAGGTGGCAACTTGAGAAAATCTGATCAGTCAAACATGCAAAACATGTTTAACGTGCAAAGAAATTGATTCTTTGCGACAAACTCAAATTTTCTAATCCCTTTGCAACCAGATGGTGTAAACCTTTGATATTTTAAACTAGCGGAAATATCTTAGATCTACGACATAGGGTTGCATGGATCAAGGGATTAGAAAATCAGAGTTTGTGGCAAAGACTCAATTCCTTTGGAAATTTGCAAGAGGGGGGGGAGGTTGCTTAAACACTAGGGAGTTAAACTACAGGGTGATTATAGGACATCAGGAACATATAAAGAATAACACGTTATTTGCATTTTTGGTGTGCTAATTTTTAGCAAAATGGTCTATACTAAAGGCCACAGTTTTATTGCATGCATTTTTTAGAGTGGGTTGCTAGGGAATCCTTCTTAAAAGGAGGTTTAAGGAGAACATTTTGGCACTAGGCTATAGTTATTGTACTTAAAAAGTGTCCAGGGCGACATGTTTATGTAGTTTAAAAAAAACACTGATATAATTTTGATTTCCCTGGACATGTTTGATTGTTTCACATCCATACAATCCTCAACTTTTTTTTACAGTGTAATGTGTCACGGAAATAACGAGATTCATTCAAAATTTGAAACAAATAAATAAATTTGTATGGCGGTAAAAATATTCAAATATTTGGAAGAAAAATATTTTTAAAAATAGCATTCGACAACTTCAAATGCTCAAAAATCAGTCTTTATAAACTTAGCGTTGACCAATCATACATGGAAGGGGGGGGGGTGGTCTCAAGGAACCTATACAGGAAGGAATTATGATTACAGGGATTGTATGCTAAATCTATTTACACTCTCTATAGTGAACATAAATGAAATCTGCATTGTTTTTTTCGATGATATTTTTGTAAATCCTTCAATTATTTTTGTTGTCAATTCTAATGTGTTATCATTAAAAAATTTCAGTTAAGAAGTACATGATGTATTGTATATATGGCACATTGAGAATTTTATAGAGTCGATATAAAGGAGTTTTGAGGGAGGAGGAGGAGGAGGAGGAGGAGGATCTGAAGATGGAAGGGGGTGAGGTAGAAAACATAAAAATAAGAGTTCCAACAAATTAAACCCTTTTAAACGTTTATAAATCTGACTGTACACATACAATAATAATTTCAGAACTTAGCAAAAGTAGATAAATTTTCAATTTTGTAATTATGCATGTTTTTAATTTAAAAATTTTAATTTACAAACTACAATATTGAAAAGTGTAAAACTTTTGGCATTCTTCTTACATATTAATTACTAGAGGGGATACCCTGTTATGGTTGCACAATTAAAAATTGTTGAAAAAGTAAATTATGAAAATTACTTTTTGTTCAACTTGTTACAAATATCTAATTCTCCTTGAATCACCGGTAGTACTGGTTATCACAAATTAAGACTATTTTTGCATGAAAAGAGTTATTGCTATCAAATGTGATGTGATAAGGTTTGGCTAAAGGTTACAAACACCGGAGTAAACATGATCATAAAACTACTACAACTGGGAAAAGAAGGGGAAAAGTAAATTTTCTCTAATTTTAAAATATCACAAAACGTGGATCTCTCGACTTATTGCTTTGAATTACCTCAGACCGGTTTTTGAACCGGGTTCATTAAGTACAATGTGACTATTACATATGTTTATAATTACAAGATATAACTAGGGGGGGGGGGGGTAAAAAAGATGCAACAGTTAATGTAGGTTTCTATAAGGATATTCTAACATATTAGCACCTACAGGTTTATTATGACATCAGTATTCTGATGCTTTCTATGAAAATAGAAAAAATTACATATTTTTACATAATTCCAATTAAAAATCGCTGAAATAATAAATGGCACTGAATAAGTTTGAGCTTTAAAGGTGCTCTCTCGCGGGTTGTATTTTTAACCCGACTGGAACTTAAACAAATTTTGTCTATTTTACATGTTTAGAAATAGAATGAAACATCAAGGATAAAAATGATATATTTTTGCGACATTTCTTCTCTCCGTTCGTTGATATCTCTCCGCTCGTTTAAATATCTCCGTTTAATCTCTCCGCAGTTAGAACAGATCCATTAATATGACAAATTTGTTAATTTACAATGTTTATATATATATATATATATACTGATATATCTATAGGTTGGGATGAGTCTATACTTGTCTAATGGTCTCCATTGTTTCCTGTAGTGATCCCTATACCAGCACTGGTTGGTCTGGTATCTCCGACCTCGCTGATATCATCATTCTCCGCATCCGAACCTAGTTCTCCTTCATCCTCTCGGTCAGATCCATACCTGTCATCCTTGCCATTCATAGGGATAAGTCCTGCAGCTGCGGCAGCAGCTGCCATAGCCGCCGCTCTGGCGGGACTGTTCTGGAAGTTTAGAGCAGCGGCGGCAGCTGCAACATTACCATCAGCTGCTGCTATCATGGATAGGTAGGTGTCGAGGAGAGCCGATCCTCCCATACCAGGGAAATCCTTAGGGTTGGGGTGTCGGAGCCCTCCCATCAGAGGGAATGAGTTGATGGGATGGGAGTTTGGAGAAGAGAAGGGGGAGGAGGAGTAGGGAGATGACATCGGTACCCTGAGATAAGAATAGCTTAAAAACATTTGTAAACTCATCCGCTTGGGAAAATTTAAACGACAGGGTGTCCCATAAAAACGCATTCAAGAACATGAGGTTAAAATTGCGACACCCTGTGAGTAATTAATTGAGCTTACCGAAGGTCTTCAGGATCTGTGTTCTCCCTGTCTCTCCCCAGACTGAGATGAGAAGGATGAAGAGAGGGTGGGAGAGGGAACTGGTTTGATTGATGGATTGACAAGCTGTTGTCTAGCTTGGGCAGGTCAGATCGTCTCGGTGCAGTCGGCGAGGCGCGCGCGGCAAGTTCACTTGCAGAAACCTAGATAAAAGTCTAGGTTAGTTAAAATCAAATAGTTTTTAATTTAAAACAGTGTTAATTGTTATATACATATCTATATAATTTTTAACACAATAAAATAAAAATACTGAAAAATTACCAATATCAGAATATTTATAGATAATAAGATCTTAGAGTTAGCAAGAACCCAGCAAAATGGCCGGGAGGATTAAAAAACCTTGATATCCCTGAAATATTCTGAAGTTGGGAATAGATTAGAAAAACCTTTACTCCAGCTTTTGAAAGAAGTTTGCTTGCAAGATCTGGGTCGAAGGGCGACGGCATCGGTAGTACAGGGAGATCTTTGGTACTGATCCCACGGTGCTGTCGTGACATATGCGAGTGCAGCGAGTTCCTCGACTTGGCGACAGTTCCACACAGGACACATCGGTATCCAGGGCAGATTGTGTGCTTATCCTCCATGTGCGTGCGCAAAGTGTGCGCAGACCTGAAAAAAATATTTTTTGAAACATTTGGTTCATGATCATTGATCATTATTTATACAATAGTACACGTACATTTTTATAATTGTACAAGGCGGTGTCTATATTTAAAGACTAGATCTTGTACATGGTTTCAATATTAAAATGTATATTTAAAAAAGTTGTACCTGTAAATTTTCCCGCATTTAGGACAGGGTCTGGGATCCGTTGCGCGCACGCGCATCATCTCAAGCTTCCCGCCGACTGAAACAGGGGCGGTTAACTCCGACAACAAACCGCCGACTGAAACAACAACCGTCGCACTTCAAAACCGCCGTCTGGCGTTTACTTCAAAAACTTCTTGTTCTTTATATTTTATGTACTTTTTGCCGTTTAATCTACAGTTTCAGGTACAGTTTTTTGTACAGTTTTATGTACAGTTTTACGTACAAGATGGAATGCACTGTTTGAAAAACTAGAACAAGAAGTTGAGGAAGTACTCGAGATATCAGGCCAAAAACAATCGAAAGAAGAAGTTTAAAAACATAACATTTAGCTGAACAAACATGAATCCTAGAATCTCAACCTTTACAATATACTTTAATATTCTACATGATTAAAAATATTTAAAAAAAACATTTAAAGGAATTGTAAACGCAATTTCAAATAACCCTCCATATTGATAGAGTGGAATGTCTAATTCACAACGGTACCCTTTATAGCTTTGTCTAATCAAGTATGCATTAGATATCCATGTTTTTTTTATTTTTATTTTTGAGGTTTCTACATAAGGGTCACTTACAATTACAGCAGTAGGTCCCTTTAAGCCTAAGTTAAGGTTTTTTATTGACAGAATGGTAATATTTCTTTTATCTTAAGATTTGATTGCATGAATTTAATTTTTCTGTAATCTACCATTTTTTAAATATAAGTTAACAGTATGGATGAATATATTAATGATTGAATAGATAAATATAAGTTAACAGTATGGATGAATATATTAATGATTGAATAGATCTCAGTTTATAAAGAATATATTGAAGCGGACTATTGCCTCTGCACTCTTTGAAGTTCAAGTCAAAGAAAGATTTGAGATTTAAATAGCAAAGAATAGAATTGAAGGGATTTCAATGTGAAATGTAAAGAGGAAACACGCCAGTTAGTCAGATAGATAGATAGTTATATGGATTTATGCCAGAAACTTTTATTTCAAATTTTACATTTTTTGATCAATTATTTGATAATCAAAAAAAAAATTTTAATTGAAAAACGTTTTTTTGAATTCATGATAAGATTTATTTTTTTTGTAATTTACAAATTTTTCTTTAGTTTTGATAAACCATCTATTTGTACAAAAATATTTTTTGAATAAAATTGTTGCAGAGAAACTGTTTGAAATATGTAGATAAATAAAAGTATTTAATTCTAAACAGCTCTCCCNCCAGCCTCTAATAGAAAAGTTAACTTGCTCAAAGTACTTGGGAATAGAAATTTTAAAGTAGATTCCAGACTTTTCCATTTTCCATTTCTGCTGGTTTTCTGGCAAACATGTTTTCATGTAGTAAGGAGGAGGATGTACAAGAAATGAATACAAACGCCATGTTCCAGCAACACTGCAATATTTTCTTTAGAAATCCACAAAATTCTTATTCAAAATCAAAAAAGTTTAAAAGCAAAAAATGTTTTTTAAGAAAATTATTTTTTCTCTGTCCTAGCCTTTTTTTGGCTGGCAAAAGTTTTTGTGTTTTTATTAATTTATCATTTTTTCTGGGATTTGGCGTTCCGCTTTCTTATTGAATTAGATTTAGAAATATTATATTCGTTTCAAAACTTGAAATATTTCCAAGATGAAAAATTATATTTATCCGAAAACAATTAGTGCACAGTGCTTTTAAACTTTTTCCCTAATAGAATTTGACAATGTGAATACAATAATATATGCTTGAAAAGTAAATAGAAAGTCATAGTTTCAAGATTTAAAAAGTTTGGATTCTAGGATTAGGATTAAAATGTTATGACGCATTAAGTTCAGCTATCAATATATGTACACTGTACATACTGTGGCACACTAAAGACCGAACACTTAAAGGGACTGTACATAAACTATGTAAGGTGACTATAATCGTCCGTTTAAGGACGAATTTAAACTATTTATAATATGTAACAAAGCTAGCGAGATCACTTTATCATACCAACCACCATTTCAAAATTTATGCACAATCCCTAGTAGCAACATTATTCATTCAAATTAACAATTACGTTTTCGATGGCAATCAAATCTTACTTGTCGGGTTAGCAGCATGGCTTTGTAGTCCTACATGTGTGGTAGAAGGACCGGGTAGGGTCGGGATAGATAGATTAGACTGTCCCTGCCCTAGACCCAGGAAGGAAGGAAACCCAGCCTGCCGGTACAACGCCTCAAGACCAGGCGGGAACAGAGGGTTGGGGTGATGTTCAATATCTCGACCCATCTCGGACTTGATGGTGTCCAAGCTGGCTGAGCCGGGTCGCTCGCTACCGGTCGTGTCGCTCGCACTGTCACGACTGTCGCTCTTCTCAAGTGCTTGACTGAGCAGGGATTTGTCGGTAATGTCGTATTTGTCGAACTTGTGGCTGCTAGATTCGACATTGTCGCTTCGCGGAGAGATTGGTCGCTGCCACGGTTCCCGGTCACCATTGTGACGAGAATGGTCCGATGGGGATTGACGACAGGGGAGAGGAGGAGAGGACGAGTGGGGACCGTTGAGTCCGTTATTGTGACGAACTCGTTTAAGTCTAGGAGAGTAGTCCTCAGCATCCATCTGCTCGAGCTGCTCGGGGTTCGTCTGGCAGGTGGGGGGAGACAGGGAGGTCTAGATAATAATAATAATAATAATAATAATAATAATAATAATAATAATAATAATAATAAAATTAAAAATAATAATAAAAATAAAAATAAGAATAACAACTGTAGATAAGTTATAACTTACAGAAGAAGTTTTTTGGCATTGATCTTTCAAAGGATGGTCTGAGAGCCCCTTTATCTAAAAATTATCATTAATTATTAATTAAATCATGAATACATTATCTCATTAATTAATTAAAATTGTAATTAACTATTATTTTGAACAATGCTTTTGGATTTAATTACAAATTGCATTTTATAAAAACTAATAGAAAAAAATCTACTGAATGATTTTAGTTTTAATTGATTTTAAAAATAAACTAGTTAAAAATAAGAAAAAGAAAAGAATTTAATCAGGACAAAAAATACATGATTCACTGCAGGGTTTTGCACTGTAAACTCCAGTTAATTTTAAATACCCGGGCCTGATCGACTTTTAACAAACTAAAGCAAGCTGTACAGTAATATAAACAAACTAAAGGCAAAACAAGACGGTATACACCAAATGAATCATCCCCTTCTAGTAAAATTCATTTGAAGACTACTGAGAGAAAACGGAAAGGAAAAATGAAGGATTAAATAGATCAGTTTAAGTTAACAGTATGGATGAATATATTAATGATTGAATAGATAAATATAAGTTAACAGTATGGATGAATATATTAATGATTGAATAGATAAATATAAGTTACCAGTATGGATAAATGAAGAATTGAATAGATAAATATAAGTTCACAGTATGGATAAATGAAGAGGATTGCATAGATAAATATAAGTTAACAGTATGGATGATTATATTAATGATTGCATAGATAAATATAAGTTAACAGTATAGATGAATATATTAAAAATTTAATAGATAAATATAAGTTAACAGTATGGATGAATATATTAATGATTAAATAGATAAATATAAGTTAACAGTATGGATGAATATATTAATGATTGAATAGATAAATATAAGTTAACAGTATGGATGAATATATTAATGATTGAATAGATTAAAAATAATTAAGTTAACAGTATGGATGAATATATTAATGATTGAATAGATAAATATAAGTTAACAGTATGGATGAATACATTATTGATGAATTGAATAAAAGATGAATGGAAGAAAGGATACATTGACTTTAAGAAAGGATGAAAGCATGAATGAAAGCATGAATGAACGCATGAATGAAAGGAATAATGAAAGAATGAATGAAAGGATGGATGAATAAAGAGATAAATAATGAATGAATGACTGAATGAAAGGATTAATTGATTTGAAAGGTATCAGATGTCCTGAGAAGACTAAGAAAGGAAGAATGTAAGAAAGAAATAATAAATGAAAGAATGAAAGTAAGGATGAAAGTAAGGATGAATGAAAGAATGAATGAATGAATTAACCTGTAAAGTTTCAGCAGTCCTGAGAAAACTCTGAATATTGTCCTGGGCAACCTGGACTTCGCCGTGGTACATAAAGTTCAGCAGACATCTAGATAGATAGATAGATAGATATATAGATAGATAAATAGATAGATAAATAGATAGATAGATAGATAGATAGATAGATAGATAGATAGATAGATAGATAGATAGATAGAAAGATAGAAAGATAGAAAGAGAGAAAGATAGAAAGATAGAAAGATAGATAGATAGATAGATAGATAGATAGATAGAAAGATAGATAATTTACCTGAGGTCGTCTTCTGCGACATCTCTTAAGATAACAATAGGATGCTGACAAGGGTTGTTCTAAAATAAATAAATATCAATTACATTGTTACTTTTGTAGTTCATAATTGTAATAATTGTAATTATTGTTTTGCTCAGATAATTATGTAATCTAGCGATTGTATTATCATGTTATTGTACTTGAAGTTGTGATCAGTACATATAATTGTAATTGTAATGATTGTAATTATCATTGTAGTCAATATGTATCTAATTATTAATTTTTAATTGTAGCTTATGTTGTAATTATTATTGTGCAATTTCAGTTGATGTTGTAATTATTGTCATGTAATTGCAGTTGTAATTATCATTATGCAATTGTAATTGATATTTTAATTATTATGTAATTTTAAGATTTAGGTTTTTTTAAATGAACCTAATTATTGTATGTAAATAATCTGTCATTAAATTGTCACTTTATAAACATTAATTTTTTTCTACATATATCATTTTCTAAATTATATATCTAGCAATTATTTGATTTACGGATGCATGCATAGAGGAGTAGATAACCACGAAATAAGGGGGGGAGGTGAACTGGCTCCCAGGAAACACTACATAATTTTGGGATGAGGTTCGGCGCTTAAATCGGGCAAACATATTTAGACATACATCAATTTGAATAAACAGCTGCCCAACACATTAAACATAATGCCTAGATCCGAGGCGCTGTAGTAGGTTACAAATAGCAGAATTAACAATGCTAATTAACGGGAATACAGAATATTAAAGAATGGGGTAGAGTGTAAATAAATAAAAACGTGTTATTGCTAATTTCTATAGATGGAAGAGAGTTTTATAACGCGGTTTCCCTTTAAAAAAAAAAAGCATGATTCAATAATCTTTTATTGCATGTGGAATTAGAACCATACCTTAATAACAGTGATCATACACTCTTTTCTTTCAGGTATGTAGAACGATAGTTATCAAAATCTTATCGACATTATTGTCACATCTAAATCAAAATCTTATCGACATTATTGTCACATCTAAATCATATCTTATCGACATTATTGTCACATCTAAATCATATCTTATCAATATCATATCTTATCAGATCATATAATAATATAATAGTAAACGCGCGTATCCTGTATTCCCGGAAGGGAGACTCAATCCACCAGCATTTAATTGATACTAGAAATAGTTTGTTTGGTAATTCGCTGGCGGAAGGAGTTAATCCGGACTCATGGCTCAAATTTGGTCGTGATACCCGACGTTAGGCCTAAACTATGTCAGGCTGAAAAGCCTTGATCTAGACGGGATCGTGATGGCGTACCCCAGCTAGATCGAGGAGCCCACGGGACTTCCCTAGCTCCTTGAATTGAATTGAATTGAAATTGATTAATTAAACATGGATAAGATTTTAATATTGTAAAATTTGTTGAAAAGATTTAGATATTTAGGATTAAAAAAACAACTGTTTAAGCCAAATTATTTGTATTGAATTGCCTCATCGATTGTTAATTAGATAATTCCCCCCCTATTCTAATAATAAAATTGATTATGCAAATATCTGTGTGCAGAGCCACATTTTATTTAATTTTGAAAGTCATTTTCTCCCCGCTCGGATTCTTTGTATAATCAGTTTTCAAAATGAAGAAAACTTTTTTGTCGTAATTGAATAGGATTAGATCTGAGAGGGGTTTCAGTTAAAATGACAGAAGATATGACACTAACACTAAACTTCAATCAGAGCCGTGATATCAATCTTTATATAGATCCTGACTGGGTTAATTAAACCTGGATTTCGTTTCAACAAAGAAATATTTCGTAAAAAAATCGCCTTTCTCCTTCCACCCATTTTATATATCTTTTTATCTATTAAAAATTCTTCATTTCTCTATCTTTGTTCTTCTTGTACCCAATCAGGTGATTACCCCACCCCCTCATCTCATGAACCCCTCCCCCCTTGACATTATGAAGACAAGGAACACTATTTCACTTCTCCTTCCTCTCCTTTCTCTCCTTCTCCTCCTTCTCATCCTTCTCCTTCTTATACTCCTTCTTATACTCCTTCTCCTCCTTCTCCTTCTTATACTCCTTCTCCTCCTTATCCTTCTTATACTCCTTCTCCTCCTTCTATCCTTCCACCTCAAACCTCCTTCCACCTCAACCATCCTTCCACCTCAACCCTCCTTCCACCTCCACCATCCTTCCACCTCTACCCTCCGTTTCCTCCTTACCCCTGAAATCAAAGTGTCCTGGTATTCTCTTTTCTCTCCAGGTTTAAATATCGGAGTTCTGTCCTGAACCTTCTCTCAAACAATATATACATACAGATACTCAATATACAATCCTTTATTTTCAAACCAGGTAAACCAGCTAGATATATAGCTTGCACTGTACTAGCTTGCATTACGCAGACGCTACAAAAATATCTTAATATTTTGTCAATTACTTTTAAAGTTTTTAAAGTCTATTTAAGTTAGAAACTAGCGCCTAGCTTGTAGTTCTAATATAGAAATGTCTACATATAGCTACAAAAAAGTAAAAGTGAGGCACTGAATTAGATGTTCATATGATTTTTAATAGATAGCTTCTGATTTATTTGCATGATCATGGTAACTATCTATGCACGAATATTTATGTAGTCAGCTAAACATATTTGAACCACTTGGATTATATATCTATCCTATTCTAAACATATTTGAACCATTTGGATTATATATCTATCTTATTCTAAAATAGTTGTCCCTCCATTCACTCTCCAACCACTTGTGTTTCTATCATCTCAGAATCAAGGTTTAAACCTTTTAAAAATTCTCTTCCACTGATGTCCTCAGGGATGGTTTAGAATCTGATAGTATTCTCCGGGTCCCCCTTGATATCCAAGTATCCTAGCATCCTGGTTTAACTGCTGACCGTCCTATCATCATCCATCCCAAGGATAAAATCACACTTCAAGTCAGAGAAATAAATTTCTATATTCATAAAATTTCGAGCATTTTGTTCCATTGTATTCCCCCCCCCTGCTCCCCCTCAACTTCCTTCAGTCTATCTATCTGTGTATCTCTATAAGTAAAATCTATCTATCTATCTATCTATCTATCTATTTATCTATCTATCTATCTATCTATCTATCTATCTATCTATCTATCTATCTATCTATCTATCTATCTATCTATCTATTTATCTATCTATCTATCTATCTATCTATCTATCTATCTATCTATCTATCTGTACAAAGTTAGTATGTTGGCTGGATAATGGATCCATGATTTTGAAATCTTGGCACTCAACCTTTTATAGAATGATTTCCAAAATTTTGGTCTATTCAGATACAAGTTCTCTGTATAAACTTTATGGTATTGTCTGTAAGACGAGCACCCCC